TACGGCTTTACGGCTGGAAACGGATCATTATAGCACACAACCAAAAGCGGTCAACCCAATATCAATAGAAAAAAACAAAAAACTAATATGTCACATGGGCTTCGGTGAAACGAATGTGGAAAAAAAAAGGAGTTTGTTTGCTTCGCCACCACACAGCCAGTCACCGCTGTGTTCATTAATCTAGCAAAATCCTGTTCCTCTTTCGAGGTTCCGGCCGCAGTACCGAAATCCGACACCACCTGTCCACTACGAGGCTGAACAACAACAAAAACAACAAAACTGGGTGACGTTGCCGTGAATCTCGCTGTTTACGCGCCCGCCCGCCCCCGTGCTGCAGAACGTTTTACGCGCAGGGCGCTGCTGGCTTTGCTGCAGCCTGAGAGTAGTTTTCGTCGCTCTGTCTCTCTCGCTCTCATACTGCTCGCTCCACGAGTGCGAGAGAGACAGAGCGACCGCTCTCGGAATGGCGTCGTGACGCCGCGCTGCACTTTTGGCGCGCGCGCCGTCAACATTGCGTGAGCGGCGAGGTGGCGCGGGGAGCCACTTCTTCTTGTTGGCACAGCGAAGCACAGCGAACGCCACCGTCTTCATTCGAAGCGAAATGAATGACGAAATTAGAGGACGGGAAGGACTCGCGATGCGCGCTTCGAGCTTGCGGTGCCCCGGCCGGCAGAGCTTCTGGACCCACGGCACCGCGCGGCACAGTGGGCCAGAAGGCCGGTGCAGGCACTCAAAAGTCTAGATGCGTTTTGAGCTCCTGAGTCTCTTAACAGGACTCGGGACCGTGTGACCCCTCCACTGGATTCCTCGTCCAGAGAGCAACCCATACGTGGGGTCACACGCTCGGTTCGAGTCCCAGTTAACCACTCTGGAGCTCAAAACGCGTCTTGAATTTTGGCCGTCTCCAACGGCCTTCTGGCCCACTGTGCCGCGGGGACACACTTCATTTTACAGCGGACGCTAACAGCATGTGCACACGACGGACGCGGTGCAATCGCAGGCATGCGCATGTCGCCTCTCATCGGGCGATCATGTCGGCGGCGGCCATGTCGCGACAACGCGTCGCAACGGCGCGCTGCTTGCTTTTGAATACAAGCAGCCAACGGCACTGCGATGCGCCGCGATGCTCGTCCGAAAGACGCAACGGTTTGTGTAATCGGGCAAACTGCAGCGCTGCGCAGCACTTCGCCCGGCAGCCACCTGTCTGGCCCTCGGCCTGGCCGCCGTCTGCCGCGGTCATAGTCCACGTAATAAAGGCGCAAATCCACTGGAAAAGCCGCCGAGCATGCAACGCGCAAGCTTTTTGCAGCGCTCTGGTCACCGGCGAGAGGGGCCAAGCGGCCGGCCATACTGAGGTAGAAAGCGGTGGACGCATAGAGTCATCTAACTGGTCCGCCGCCGACCAAGTTTGCCTATTAAGTGAGCGCAGGAAGGCGGCCCGCTGGCCCCACGCCGCCCCACGCCGCCCCACGCACCGACACTTCCACTAACACGCACGCACTCAGTCATCGTCCGTCCAGCCACTCTGCTCTCCAAACTGCTTGTCGTGGTTTGGCAACGGACTCTTTTAGCACAGTCTCCAAGTGAAGAGCGAAATTAATGACAAACAAGTTCCTACAAAAACAAAAACAAATTGAGCCAAATAGCTTTTTTAAATATTTTGATTGAAAATGAACGCCTTTTGGCTGAGGACCTGCTTGGGGTCAGATTCTTAGTTTCTCAGTTCTGTTGAAATTGACATGAAAAAGGCAACTACCTCTGCGCGAACATTCCAAGTCTTTATTCAAGGTACAATGTTGTCATCGTTTTGGTTCCAGTAATTTTAAATTTTACCAACAGTGTGGCCAGTTTCGCAATGTTACCGTCTGCAAGTTCGTCCAGATGAGGATGTCGTTACTGAAACGCTTGGCAACGTTTGTAAATCATCACGCGTTTTGAGCTAAGGTGTGTGTTCTGGCCGGCGCGACTGGCACGGTTGCAGACTGATTCCTAGTCATTTTCGTCGCTCTGTCTCTCTCGCACTCACGGGGCGTCGCGTATGGGTGCGAGGGAGACAGAGCGACGAAAATGGCTTTCGGAATGAGTCTGCCGGCGCTGCTGGCGGGCTGGCGGCCACTCTGGCCCCGCGCCACGGACCGCCCCTTGCCCCTTGAGTCTGCCAGCGAGGACCGCCGCGTGGCCGCGTGGCTTCCAAGAGTAAATGCACCGCGGGAAAGCGCTCCAGGCACGCGAGCGGCACGCTCCAGGCACGCTCCAGGCACGCACGGCGACGCGTTTGCGTGCCCGCGCGCCGCGCGCACGCCGGGGCACTTCTCGATTATGCGTCGCCACGACGACGTGCCGCCCTTCGCTAGCCGGACGCCAAGGCTGGCTTCCAAGTAGACACGGGGGACGCTCTCGCAGACGCGGCGTGCCTCCGCCTCGGTCAGGACCACCTGCAGACTCCTGCGCGGCTTCTCGTGAGCGGCCGAAATCGCAAGGAGGAGAAGCGGTGCGCTATGCGCCGGTACGGCACAAGCTGGCCGCATCACCAAGCCCGTCACCAGAACTGCTTTGCTTGGAGAAGTGCTTCCCAGACTCGTCTCAAATCATGCAAGGCCAACCGCCTTCAACCTGACCGCGAAAACACGCGTTTGGAAGGTTTCGCGAACAAAGACAGCATTCTATTTGGGAGAAATACCGCGTCGTTTTGAACTCTCTTAGAGCGACTTTGCACGGGGAAACGAGAACATCAGCCTGTTGAAACTTGCGAGAGCGGAAGGTATGTTCTAAGTAGACGGTGAGTGGGCTCGGAGCCTGCATGATGGGACCTAAGCCAAGGATGGACAGCCAGTCTTTGGCGCTAACCCCGTGCAGTATGGACACCGTGCAGGCAGTGCCCCGTCCGTAACCAACTCCCCCCGCAGAGGGGCTTTCGATAAACAGTTTCTGGGGAGTTGGCAGCGCTGCGAGGTGAAAGGGCTGCGCCGGGCTGCGCCGGGCTGCGAGGGACACGGAGCGAAGCGAGTCACAAATCCTGGGCGCGGCGCGCGGCGTGGCCGGCGGAAGAGATACGGAACGGCGCGAATAGTTGGGGGGAAAGGAGGGGGGAGGGGGGCAGGCGCCACCTTCGAACGTGTTAACCCTACATCCGAGGCCCTTCGATACTCCCCATGGAATCTCCTTTTTTTCTGCGTTGGCGTCCCGCTTTGAATCGAGCGCGGCACTGCGGTGGGGGCGGCGGGGGCGGAATGGGCGGTGGGGGCGGCGGGGGCGGCGTGTCTGCAGCCCACTGGAGCGCGTCGCGGTGTTGCTTGTTCTCAGAGGTCGCGCTGCGGCCTGCAGCCTGCGGCGCGCCCCGCCTCTCCCCTCCGAGGGGCCGGCAGGGCACCGGCAGGGCACTCGGCGTTATTGGCACAACACACCGCACGTGCCAATAGGGGCGCCGCATGTTATCGGCACTCGGGCTGGCCGCGCGTGAGCCGGCGCCGAGACCGGCCGTCAAACGCGGCGCATTTCGGACGGGTACTCAAGCCATTGCGCGGGGCTACGGCCTGCCGGCCGGGCCTGCCCCGGCCAGCGTGCCCCGGGGTGCTGAACCTGTTAAGTGGCGGGAAAACGGAGTCTGAGGGCCCACGGCTACGGCAGTACGGCAGGCCCGACCAGTTTGAGGACTTGCGGAGCCCGCGGGGACGGCAGGCGGTGTCGCAGAAGCGTCGCCGCCCAGAAGGGGGCGCTGGGTTCTGGGTTGCGTTCGGAGGACTTGGACGGACTGGGGACTCGTCTTAATACAGAGCTCTGGAGACTTTTTGACTGGGGTACTTATTTGCTGAGGCGAAAACGCGTAAGTACGCAAAAGACACGTTTTTGCGCTCGTCGCAGGCAGCCTACCTTTCCGAGTCGCCCTCGCCCGGCCGGTACGGTTCTAGTTCCGCCCCATTGGCGTGTCGTCGCGGCGCGGCGCGGGGCCTTGGCGCGGACTCAATGGCACAGATCATCTCGCCCACCGAAGCAGCGGCAGACGACACCGATATGAAGGATGAGTCTGCCGTGCCCCATAGCGCGGCGGGGCGTCGCCGACACGCCGCCATTTTGCCTGCCTTTGTGTCGCCGTGGCCGACTGACCCCAGGCACGGCGCGAAATGCGAAGGGGGCCGCCACTGCCAATCCATCTTGCGTTCATTTTCATGAGTAAAAAGGGACACTTTCGGGCCACTGGTTCCTCTTAAGCCCCCATTTTCCTCGGACGCGTCGACGGGTCCTTTTGTGGTAGAAGGACGGCTCCGAGTCGACCTACATGTCCTCGAGCGACATCGTCGTCCTGGCGATGGCAGCCGGTGATGGCGGTCGATCGCAACGACCAATCAGAGGCCGCGATGACGATTGTGTCTCGGCCAATCGGGGCTGTCATCGCGCGGAGCAGAGCCACCTTGCGGACTCTGCGGTCGCGACCCCATCAAGCCTGGGAACAGATCGGCCTGCTTCGCGCGGGCTCGGCGTCCGCATTGCCAAATGCAGTGCCGTGTGCCGACGGGCCTTGGCCGGGCAGGAAGAGAGGACCGGGGCACTCGTGTTTGGTGGCGGCGACGCAGACGGCGCTGCAACGTCAAAAACCGCTCGGAAATTCAGAACAGTGCACTTTTGCAGAACACTGCAGTTTTTGTTGCTCCTCCACATCGGGTCCAGCCAGCCGAGCTTGTCGGCGCCCCCTCGCAGCGTTTCCTCGATTGTTCGGAAGGCCTTCCCGTCCAATCACCGCGCTGCTCGGCGGCGTGAGGCGGAGTGCATGGCGGAACGCGGCGACAGTGCGGTGCACCGCGGTGCTGCAACAGCGCCCCGGCACACTGTGTGACGTCGGCCTGCATGGGCTGCCGCTGGCGGCGGTCGCCGAGAAAATGACTCACTCAGCCAAACGGCTCACTTTTCGCAGTTCCCTTATCTCCCGCTCGTTCAACGAAAACGGCGACGGCACATTAACGTGTCGGTAATTAACGCGGTGTTGTCTTTCCTTTCCGTTGCAGGATGCATGTTCTACCCGGCCGGCGAGTACCTCCGCTTCGTCCGCATCCCCGAGAACGTCCCCGTCGGCGGGGAGGTGCTGCAGGTGGAGGTGCACCCGCGGAGGAACCTGTCGCTCCGGCCGGTGGACAAGGTGAGCCTGCTGCCACTGCTCTTGGCGCGCGCTAGAGTATCGACTGCGCGTGAATATGAATGAGGCTTTCCTTTGACGCCGCCCGAACCAGACCGCCGTCACGTCGCTTCCGAACAGCGCCGCCGACGCTGTCTCTCTCGCACGCCTAGGGCACGTGTTAGGGCGAGAGAGACAGAGCGACTGGCTGGCTAATCGGCTGCGCGGCGTCCCTGCGGTGTCCCTGTGGTGCCGCTCGTTAGACCGCGGGCCCCGTTAGGCCGCTGGGCCGTTGGGCCCCGAATTTCTGCATCCCAAAGTTGCCCGGCTCGGCCAGTGTGCATCTGATAGTAGTGCGCCGAGCGGCATTCTTAGTCTCTGACCAAATAAAATCTGATTAAAAAACAAAAATTGAACTCTCGAATCCTTTTAAATTTAATTCAAATCGGTTTGAAACTGAGTCGAATTTGACATATCTATGCTCAAAACGGATGGAATTGCCACTTTTCCTGCAGTTTCCGACCAACATACGAACATTTCACATGTTTGATTCGATTCTCGAAACGAACCCAGCCTCCATTCGACTCGATCGCGAACTGGCCCGGCTTGCACTGCATCGGAGACTGTCTGTGTCCAGGCGGACGACGCCCGCTACTTCGCGGTGCGCGACGTCAACGGCAGCGCCGTGTCCATCGTGCTGTCCCGGACGCTGGAGGACCTCGTGGACAGCGACACGCAGCGCCAACGAAAATGCTCAAGTTCGGCTGGCTGTGCACTACGCGCCGGCGATGCACGGCAGTCGCCCACAAGAAGGCTCACATGCAAGACATTTCGAGGCTGCTACGGCCAGCGGCGCTTTGTGCTTCCATTCAAAGTTTGAGGGCTGCGCTGCATGGTGGCGCCTGCACTGGCAGTCACGCCGGCAGGGCGTCCTACTGACCGACGGATACGTGGAAGGCTCGTTTCCACGGCCCTTCCGGCGCGCTACCCTGTTTCCGCGTACCTTCACTGGTAAGTTTCAGCGCCCATTCGCGGGTGGCTACCCTCGTCCCGGGCTGCGCCTGAGCGAGGCCCAGCACAGCCCGTCGGCGCGTTTGGCCTTCTCGGACAACAGGGCGGAGCGCCCAGCGTAGGCATCCAGTTTCACAGCCCAGTTTTGGCGGGCTGCCTACCCTCGGATCCACAGGGTTTTAGCGCCTCACGTGGCATCACAGTTTCACAGCCCATTCGGCGGGCTGCCTACTCGGTCCACACGCGGCCTCAGGTAGGCATCACATTCCAGCCCAGTTTGGCGGGCTGGCCTACCGTCGGTCCACGGCGCTACGTCGGAGGCATCACAGTTCCACAGCCCAAAGTTCCGGGCGTGGCCACCCTCGTCAGGCCTAGCGCCTCAGCGTAGCATCACAGTTTCACAGCCCAGTTGGCGGGCTGGCCTACCCTCGGATCCACAGGCGCTAGCGCCTGCAGCGTAGGCATCACAGTTTCACAGCCCAGTTCGGCGGGCTGGCCTACCCTCGGATCCACAGGCGCTAGCGCCTGCAGCGTAGGCATCACAGTTTCACAGCCCAGTTTGGCGGGCTGGCCTACCCTCGGATCCACAGGCGCTAGCGCCTGCAGCGTAGGCAACACAGTTTCGCACCACAGTTCGGCGGGCTGGCCTGCCCTCAGATTCACAGGCGCTAAGGCGGAGGTGCCAATTTACATGGAAGACTGCTAACAAGGTTTGACCCCGCCAGGTCTGACCATCTTCCGCGGCATCCACGCCGTGGACCGCGACAAGCCCAACACGCCCAACTCGGACGTGCAGTACTCCATCGTGGCGGGCAACGAGGCGGGCAAGTTCGGGCTGGAGAGCGCGCACCGCGCCGCGCTGGTCATCCGCAAGCCGCTGGACTACGACACGGGCGACAAGGAGTTCGTCCTCACGCTCATGGCCTCGGTAAGGATTGTGACTGCGACCCTACCAGCGGCCGATGGCACCGTCGCCTGAAATGGCGACGTTTGAAAAACCGCGGGAAAGCGCCATCGGCTGAAACACTGACCCGCGCTTGCTGACGGCGCGCCTCGCTCATGCCCTGCTTGTCGTTCCAGGACCGCGGCACGCCGCCACTCAACTCGACGACGGAGATCTCCGTCTCCGTGCTGGACAGCGACGACCTCAGCCCCAAGTTCACGCGGGAGCTGTACCGGACGCAGGTCACCGAGTTCTACCCGCTTACGGTAGGTGGCACCACTTGGCAGTCGGGCTGCATACACGCCGTGTCCGCACATCCTGCACGTGTGCGCTTGCGAAGCATCGCGAAGCGGGACTGCTTGTCTCGCGAGGCACGCGGGGGCGTCCCGCGCGCTGGACCGCCAGCGACCGCCAGTGCAGGTGCACAAGATGGTCATTTCGTTAGTGGGCCGCCTGTCCGTCACCGGGTGCCCTCGCCTTGCTCGGCGGAGCCTAGTGCGTCGGCGCATCGCTGTCACCACTCTGTCGCACGTGTGGGGCGTCGTGGGCTCAGGTGCGAGAGAGACGGAGCGACAGGCCGCGTCGCCGCGACACGCGCGGGACGACCCTCCCGCCACGCGTCCCCGTATTGGCCGCGAGAAAGCTGCGCGTTTGCTCCGCAAGTAGCGGCCAGTGGCGGCCAGCCTCCGTGTACCCCGTCCCGCGGCCCAGGCAAGCCGCCAGCCAGGCAGGCAGGCAGGCCCGCTGCAGGGGCCACCGCGGTGGCCGAGAAATCGATATCTCGGAGCAGAGAGAGACAATGTCGAGTTTGTTCAGCGGACCAGAGCAACGGCAATGGTTGAGTTATCGGGAGACGGCAGCCAACCGGACCTGCCACCTCACGGCACAACGGAGGGGAAGTCTGGCGCAGGGCCTGGACGGCCTGCCCTGAGAAGAAGGCCCTAACTACCGAGGCGGCACGGTGCAGTTGGAACGGAGCCCTTTCCAAGGGTTTGCGCTTCCCTGTGCCCAGCTGGTCCAGCTGGGCCACCAGCGCGGGCAGCCCTTGGTCCTTGGCGCGGGTAACTGGACGCACACCGACATCCTCTCCGCCGCGCTCCGTGCCGCTCCGTGCTGGTATGCGGAGGATGCCGCGTCGCCGCGACGCGACGCGCAGCACGGCCACGGCCGCGCTCGCCGACACTGCCTCTGCGTCGCCAGCGCGGGAATCCGACGCCAATTTGAATCCGATTGGAACGCGGTGCCGCGCGGGGGCAGCAGACGACACTGCCGGACGAACGACCGTTCCACTCCACTCGGAGGAGTCCTTGCGCCACGCCGGCGCCCCGCTTGGGGAAATGCAGGTTAATGGGCGAGACGTTCGCAGTGGAGTACGTCATCGGAGTGCCAACGTGGAGTACCTCCTGGAGTACGTCGTGGGGGAGTAGCGCCTACGCCCCCTTTTTTTGCCGAGGTCACGTCCTTGGCTGGGCCGTGCGGCGCTCTTGAAAACGGACTTGTTGCTGCCGGTCCTTGACTCCAATAAAGCACACAATGGTATCGGGTTCGATCCCGGCACCCCGCGGCAAGGGGCACGGCGGGCACGGCGCGCGAGGCGTCAGGGAGTCAGGCCCGCGGGCAAAGCAAGTTCCGCCGCCGGCGCCACAATGCTTCGGCAGGGTGTGGGTTATTAGCGTTGCGTAAGGATTGAACTGGAATCGCAGTCAGATGAGGCGGCCGAGCCGAGTCGTGCCGAGCCGAGCCGAGCCGAGGCGAGCCGAGGTGAGCCGAGCCGAGTCGTGCCAAACCGAGCCGAGTCGAGCCGAGTCGAGCCGAGCCGAGTCGTGCCGAACCGAGCCGAGCCGTGTCGGCTTCTGGAGGAAAGTGATGAGTATCTGATGCGGCGGCGGCGGCCCGCGGTGCGGGGGAGACGGGGAGCCACGCCTGTCTGCCTGTCTGCCTGCGTGCCGCGCTAACCTAGGTCTTAATGAAGGCGCTTTTACACCGCTCTCCTTGTTTCTCGGCCCGTTGTCGGCTTTGGTTCGGCTTCACAGGGACGAGGGCCTCGCTCGGACTCACCACCGCCCACACAGCACCGTGGGTCAGAAGACCGGCGGAGGCGGACAAAAGTCTAGACGCGTTTTGAGTTCCAGGTCCACTTAGTGTGACTCGAACCGAACGTGTGACCATACCAATGAATTGCTCTCCGAACGAGGAATCGATTGGTGGGGTCACACGTTCGGTTCGACACCTGTTTAGCGACTTTGACCGCCTCCACCGGTCTTCTGGTCCATTGTGCACCGTATCGGCGAACAAAGTGTGCCGTAAAAAATCGAAGCGCAGCAATAACGTCCGTAAGCGTTCGCAAACGGGGGGATTCCTCGGAGATGCCTCTGAGAAGCGCACACGGTAGTTAAGGGTTTGCCCCGGGTGCTGTTTACCGATGACTCGCCTCTGGTACGGGGCGGGCCGACGGGCCAGCAGAGCAGAGCCGAGCCGAGCCGCCTGCTGATGCAATGCCGATTGGGCGGCCCAGCCCCGCTAGGCCCGGCAAGGTGTGATGATGGCGGTGGTTCTGATTCTGATTGAGTGGGTTCATTGTGCTGTCATTCGCCGCCTCGCTGAACTCGTTTTAAACGGCGCCCGCGTTCCCGCGTAAACAAGGGAGGCTGCTGGCGGCCTAGCGGCTCGAGGTGTTAAATAACCGTGACACGTTTGCGTAGCGCCTCGCGCAACGCGCAGCGCCGCGAGCAGTGCACTGCAGTGCGGGCGCCTCTCCCGGCCGCCTCATCGCGCATTGTCTGCGCGTCGCCCCGCGCGTCGCCTGGGGGGGAAGGAGTTCATCGCACGCGAGGATGCAGTGCAGTGGCTACGGCAGCGGCCACGTCGTAGCGAGGGGAAATCACTCCGCAAAAATTCTGCCAAGTTATTAAAAACGGCTAAATTTCCTACTTTTAAAAAGTCTGTCAAAGGCATCGCATTCTAAAGCACTTTGAAAGTTTTAAGAAATTTAGATGTATTGGATATGATAATTGCTTTTCCAATGCCTTTCACTCATGAGTTCAGGGCCCCTCAGAGATCAAAGGCATCACTAAGGACTACTCTGCTCATACGTTTAAAAAAATGGGAGACGGCATCAACTCTTTCAAATATTGAGAAAATATTACGATGAAAATTTGGGGGAAAATGGAGCTACCAAAAATATTCAGTCTGCCAAATTTGACAACTCTTGGCCCAAAACTTACTTATCCTTAGCTGAACACATTCGCAAAATTCCAAGTGTGGTCTACGTTGTTTGCCCTTGAACGATCCAATTTTTAAGCTTTCACAGTGCAAAACTTGTATTGCAACTTTCCGCCATAAAACAAAGTGCTTATGTGCTGCCTCATAAAATCACATTTGAACTCCGGATGGCCAACAAACATCATTCCTAATGTGAAATTTCAGAGTTCCAGGGTTAGATTTACAAGTATATAACCTCTAAGTTGATATTGAGGGTGAATGAGGAAAAACATTATTTACACAGACCATACCAACATCAAAGTAACCTTCCCCGATTGAGTATTCCCCATGGTTTGTTTTACTAACCTGATCAAGAATTCAATACGTTGGTAGATTGATTCCGTCACTCCTTCATCAGCGCCAATTTCCTGACTGATATTGGAACTCACATAATTTGAACAACACCACAACAAACAAGAAAATAAAAACATTCATGTAAAACAAAAGTTGTCCTTGTCACTACGCTTCTCTTTTGAAACGTCTGCTTGCGCTGCGCCAACGCCACCCCCAGGTATGAGAAATTTTGGATGCCTCTAATGGTATTTCTCATACCTGTATAGTGGCGGAATTCAAGAAGTCGATACGAAACGAAACTTAACTTGCAGGTGCAGTAGTTTGGAAATTTAGATGTAGAAACAATTGGATTTTCTGTTTTGTAGGCATGTTTGCCATTCTTTGTGAGTTCCAATATCAGTCAGAGAGTAAATGCTGATGAAGAAGTGATGGAATCAATCATGAGTGTGTTGAATTCTCGATCAGGTTAGTACAATGAACCAAGGGGAATACTCCATCTGGAAAGGTTAAATGTTCTATGTAAACTCATTTTACTCGTTGTCCCTCAATATCAACTTAGAGGCTAAATACTTGAAATTCTGACCCTAGAATTGAAATGTCGCGTTTGAAATGATGTTTACTGGCCATCCTGAAGCTCAAAAGTGATTTCCAGAGATAACACAAGCACTTTGGTTCATAGCGGGAAAGTTGCGAGACAGGTTTTACTCTGTGACAGTATTAAATTTGGACTGGTCAAGGGTAAACAAGCCCGGCTACACTTGAAATGTTGTAGACCTGTTCTGCTAAGGATAAGTAAGTTTTGACCTGACTCCCCCGGGCTATCCTAGGGTGCATCATTATGCGACCTCAACTCATAAAAGACTCTCAAATAGACTGTTGTCTTCATCACCCTCGACCAAAAAAAGATTACTGTGTATCAGTCATGTGGCTCGTGGTTCCAGTAACAGTGGTGGTTCTCTCTTCGCAGGGCGGCAAGGTGCACAAGGAGCTTGTGTTCCGGCCCGCCATCGAGGCCGTGGACCAGGACGTGGCCATCGACGCGGCGGTGCGCTACGACATCATCGCGGGCAACGAGCGGCGCCTGTTCCGCCTGGACCCGCGCAACGGCTCGCTGTTCCTGGAGCGCGAGCTGGACCTGGACGCGGAGCGCACCCTGGCCGGCAACACCTTCTCGCTGACGGTGCAGGCCGCGCAGGTGGACAACCCGCTCAAGGCGGGGGTGGCGCGCGTCGAGGTGGAGCTGCTCGACCTCAACGACAACCTGCCCGAGTTCGAGGTGGACCTCTACAACATCAGCATCGTGGAGAACCTGCCCAACGGTTTCAGCGTGCTGCAGGTCATGGCGACGGACAAGGATCAGGTTCGAACACGTTTTCACATTCCTGCGATAAAGGACCTAGTTTGCAACCTGGGCGCGTTTTGTTCTAATGGATATTTCCGCAGGGTGACAACGCCTTCTTCACCTACCTCCTCGAGGACCCGCTGCAGGCCTTCAACATCGACGCCCGCACGGGGTGGCTGACGGTGCGCGACCAGGGCCGCCTGGACCGCGAGAAGCAGCCCACGCTGACGATGCGCGTGCGCGCCAAGGAGAAGACCCCGTCGGTGGTGCGCGGCGCCACGGACAGCAGCTCCTCCGTCAACGTCACCGTCACCCTCCTCGACGCCAACGACAACAACCCTTCCTTCGTGCCCAGCAACCTGTACGAATTCACCGCCTACACTGACGCCGCTGTCGGGGATGTCATCGGCCAGGTACACCCAAAGGGGTCTCGAAACTGGACTTGCTTTGATCAGAGTCTCTCAGGCGCTTAGAGTAGACTGCTCGCTTGTCTTGGAGTGCGTCATCGACTACACTGTTTCTAACCACGCTGATCCTCTGCGCTTCGCAGGTGAAGGCGATGGACCCGGACCTGGGCCGCAACGGCATGGTGCTGTACGACGTGCAGCGCACCGGCAACCTGTCGTCGTCCGCGCTGCCCTTCGCCGTGGACGCGCAGACCGGCGAGGTGTCGGTGGCGGACGCGCCGCTCGTGCCGGGCCGCCACGCGCTCTTCGTCGAGGCCTCGGACCAGCCCGCCAACCCCTCGGAGCGCCGCTTCTCGCTGGCCGTCGTGTCCGTGGACGTGCTCAAGGCCAGTCGCCGCGACGGCCAGGGCGAGCCGGGCGACCAGGTCCCGGACTTCGTGGGCGCGCCCTACGAGTTCTGGGTGGGCAGCAACGTCGCCATCGGCGCGAGCGTTGGCCAGATCCGGGTCACCGAGACGCCCAACCGGGTGCTGTATGACCTGCTGCACTCGTACCACGAAGGGGGTGAGTCCACACGCCGACACGCCACGCTGCACGTCGCACTAGCATGCCCGTTGGGTTGCCTGCCGACCCGGCGCGGCCCGCCCAGTCTGACGGGCTGCCTGCTGTCCGGGCGCGGCCTGCCCAGTCTGATGGGTTGCCTGCCGTCCAGGCGCGGCTAGCCCAGTCTGATGGGCTGCCTGCCCGTTCGGGCGCTCGACTGTACCAGTGAATGACCTCGGCTTCTCCGTTGCAGTGCCGTTCGCCGTGGAGGAGCGCTCGGGCACCATCACGGTGGTCGCGGACATGCGCAAGTTCGAGCGGACGTTGTACGACTTCGAGGCCGTGGCCACCGACTCCAGGGACATGGTGCTGGTGACCAACGTGACGATCCACGTGGTGCACGCCGAGGACGAGGTGGCCACTCTGTTCAAGTAAGTTTGAATTTGTCGGTAGGCTCCGCCGTTGCTGCGTGTTGGCGGCGTCGTAAACAACGTTTCGGCCTCCAGGAGCAGCGGCAGCACCCCTCGTCGCCCGATGGAGTTCCACGTTCGGGAGAACCTGGCGGGGGCGCTGGTCGGGCAGCTGCTGTCGCCGGGCAGGAACGTGACGGGGTTGAACGTGACGAGCGTGGCGGACAACATCGCGGACAAGGCCGCCGCCAGCAAGCTGCGCTTTGTCATCGCCAACCAGCAGGACGTGGCCGAGAGGTTCGCCATCTCCGCGGACGGCACGCTCTACACGCAGCGGGGCCTCGACCGCGAGGAGCACAGCTCGTACCGCCTCACCGTCATCGCCGAGAACGCCAAGGGGCTGGTGCGCGGCTCGGGGGTGTTCCAGGTGGTAGTGGTCGTGGAGGACGAGAACGACAACCCGCCCGCCTTCGAGCGCCCCGCCTACGAGGGCCGCATCCCGGAGAACGCCGCGGCGGGCACGGAGGTGGCGCTTGACGCCGAGGTGCACGCGAAGGACGCGGACACCGGCAGCAACGCGCAGTTCACGCTGTCGCTGTACGGCGAGGGCCGCGACGTGTTCGCTCTGGACGCCACCACGGGCCGAGTGGTCCTGCGCGCGGGGCAGGTGCTGGACCGCGAGGCCAAGGCCGTGTACCACCTGCGCGTCATCGCGCGCGACAAGGGCGGCCTCACGTCCGAGGCCGCGCTCACCGTACACGTGGACGACGTCAACGACAACGCGCCGCGGTTCGCGCGCATGACGCTCCTGCAGGACGAGGAGCAGGGCATGGACGTGGAGGCGGACGACCCCGAAGAGAACGACATCCTGGTGGTGGACCAGCACGAGGCGCGCAACGCCACGTTCACGCCGCCGCCGTCCCGCGGCAGAGGCCAGCACCTGCTCCCTGTGGTTAGCGTGGCGGAGTCCATCGCGACGGGCACCGCGCTGCTGCGCCTGCTGGCAGAGGACCGCGACACGGGCAGCAACGCCGTGGTCACGTACCACCTCGTGTCCGAGGCGCAGGTCCCCGCCGAGCCGGGCGAGGCGTCCCCGCAGCAGTCGCAGCAGTCGCACGGCCACTTCCGAGTGCTGCCGGCCACGGGTGACGTGGTGGTGGTGCGGACGCTGCCCGCCGAGACCGAGTTCCACCTCAACGTGACGGCCACGGACGGCGGCGGCCTCAGCGACAGCGTCGTCGTCAAGATCTACGTCAAGGACGTCAACGACCACGCGCCCGCCTTCGTCCGGGCGTGGTACACGTTCGACCTGGCCGAGGGCGTGTACACCAACCACGTGCTGGGCAGGCTGGAGGCCGTGGACGCGGACTTCGGCGCCAACGCCAACATCTCGTACTACATCATGCAGACCTACGAGGACTACGCCGCGCTGCCGTTCCACATCGGCGAGCTGGACGGCACGCTGACAGTGGAGGGCGACATCGACCACGAGGCGCGCTTGTCGTACTCGTTCCAAGTGGTGGCGCAGGACCACGGCCCCGCCGAGGACCGCAAGCGCAGCACGGTGGACGTGGAGATACACGTGACGGACATCAACGACAACCCGCCCGTGTTCTACAACTACGACCGCATCGCGCAGATGACGGACGAGGAGGGCGGCACGGTGTTCGTGCCCGTGTACTACGCGTCCGTCGTGGAGAACAGCCCCGCGGGCCTCGCCGTGGCGCGCGTCTTCGCCAACGACTCCGACTTCCAGGTGAGTCACTTCGCAGAGGTCGTTTTTTTCGGTGACAGATTCAAGCAACCTCAAGAAACCACCGGAAACGTAAAGCTGTCTTCATTCCGTTTCAAACATCAAAAACTACCTAAAAAGTTTCTAAGTTTACAAATATGACGAGAACGTTACCTGTTGCAGGGTAACGGCAACGGCCTGGTGCTGTACGACATCCCGCGGCGCGCCGACCGCGAGGACTTCTTCAGCGTGGACTCGAAGGAGGGCGTGGTGACGACGAGCGCCAAGCTGGACTTCGAGACCCAGGGCACGCACAACGTCACCCTGGTGGCGCGCGACCTGGGCAGCCCCAGCCTGAGCGCCACGGCCCTGCTCGTCGTCAGCGTGGTGGACGTGCCCGAGACGCTGGAGGACACGCTTGGCCCCATGTTCCTGCACCGCTACTACGAGGTGGAGGTCGAGGAGAACTGCGCGGTACCCATCGTGCTGCTGACGCTCAACGTCACGGAGCCCTACCGGGGCTTCAACCTCAAGTACTCCATCGTGCCGGGCAAGCGCAGCGCGCGTGGACTGGCGCCATCCGCGCCGACCGCCGCCACCGCCACGCAGCGCAGGGTGCCCCCCACGGCGGCCAGCGTCGCCGCCAGCGCGGCTGCAGCGGCGCCGCCGCCGTCCATGTTCCGCGTGGACCCGCGCAACGGCACGCTGGTGCTGACGGAGAGCCCCGACCGCGAGGTGCGCGGCCGCTACGAGGTGACGGTGCGCGTCGACATGAGCAAGAAGGGCCGCGCGCTCACGCCGCCCGCGCACGTCGTGTACCCCGTGGCGGAGGAGCGCCTCACCGACCTTGGTACGTTCGGCTAGGACTCGAGGGGATTGCCCCTTAGTTGAAACCGACACCACACCACGCATGTATGAAAAACCTCGCGTTCTGTTCGAGTGCGTTTCCGGCCTCAAAGCAGCCCCAACGCACTGGTACCTGGAGTACAAACCAACCATGACTGTGTTTGCTTGCAGCCCACAACGAGGTGAAGGTGGTGGTGCGCGTGACGGACCTCAACGACAACCCGCCGCGCTTCACGGGCAGCGGGCGGCCCATCGTGGCGGCCATCCCTGCCACGGCGCACTACGGCTACCAGATCGCCAAGCTGCAGGCCAAGGACCCCGACGAGGGCCTCAACGCCGACGTACGCTACCAGATCCTGGACCGCGTGGACGACGAGTCGCACAAGTTCGCCGTGGACCCGGTCACGGGCCAAGTGCGCTCCATCGTCAGCTTCTCGCGCGACGCGGGCCGCGTCTTCGGCTTCGACGTGCGCGCCACCGACCGGCGGGGTGCCGACGACGGCAAGTCGGCCATCGCCAACGTCTTCGTGAGTCTCTTTCAAGCAGCATGTGATGGACAGTGATGGAACAACGACTAAATTGCGTCGTGACGCAGGTGTACGTGCTGGACGAGGAGAAGCAGCTCGTGATGCTGATGGCCGCGCGGCCCATCGACGTGGAGATGAGCATGGAGAACATCACGTCCATCTTGTCCAACGCCACGGGCATGGACGTGCGCGTGCGCAAGCTGCAGCCCCGCATCGACGACTCCTTCTACAGCCCAGCGTAAGTTTCACAGTCCTGGCCGCCCTGGCTTGGCCTGGCCACAGCCAGTCGCTAACCTGTCATTCCCGTTGCAGCACGGACATGTACCTCTACGCCGTGGACCCCGTCATGAACGTCATCATCGACATGGACACTCTATCCAGGTGAGTGCACTCCGGGCCGAGCGAGTTCGCCGAAACCCTCGCAGCGCCTGTACTGTGTTGTCACACTGCGAAACACCGTAGCATTAACGCGCATCCCCTTCCGCAGCATGCTGACCGCGCAGCAGGCCGAGCTCCGCCGCAAGCTGCCCGCGCTGCGCGGCATGGACCTGGTGGGCGGCGGCCTGGAGGTGTCGCGCGCCGAGGCGCACGCGCTGTCCGCCCTCGAGGTGGGCGTCGTGGTGCTGGGCTGCGTCGTGTTCCTGGGCGCGCTGGCGGCCGCCGTGTGCGTGGGCTGCGTGCGCCGCTTCCGGCACCGCAAGGGCTTCAAGGGCGGCAAGGACAAGATGGGCTTCAGCCACGCGGCGCCGCTCACGCACACGCTGCACCACAAGGGCCCACTCTACCCCAACACCACCCCGGCCTCCTTCTTCAGCCTCACGGCCAACACGAGCCTGGGCGGGCCGCAGGGGCTACCGCCGGGGCTGGCGCACCCGGGGCCCGCGCTGTCCAGCGTGGGCGGCGGCGACACCACGGACACGTACGTCGAGATGCACTCCAACAAGTCGTCCAACTGCAACAAGCGGCGCTACCCGACCAACCGCCTGCGCACGCGGCAGCAGCATCACCGGCACCAGCACGAACCCACCTGCACTCGCCACAAGCGGCACCGCCACCAGCGCAGGCCGAGCAACGCACAGGTTACTGTCGACAATGGCGTACCAATGGCGTACCAATGGCGTACCAATGGCGTACCCGACCTGACCCTAGTCTAGCCTGGGCGGGATTTGTACTTGCAGGCGAGCGGCCGCCCCAGCGCGGCCTGGCTCCGCAGTAAACTCAATAACAATCCGACATCGCCTGGCCTGCAGCTTGCTTTTGCTTTCGGGGAGGGGTGTGGCTCAAAGTTGTGGGGAGACGAGTCCTTGGCATTTCTTTCCCCTCCGCGTCCGGCCGCTGTCACCGCGAGCCTCACGAGTCTCCTTCTGTCCACAGGGGATGCATATGGTCCGGTCCAACTCCAACGCGGGTTTCGACATGGGTGTGGGCTCGGACTCCGGACAGGTCCTGTTCGATGAGCGAGACCGCGAGCTGGGCTGCTGTCCCTGTGGACACTCGCCGTCACACTCGTCAGCAGAAAGCTCCAAGTAAGTGAACCAAGTGCCATGCGCGAGCAGACGTCCGCCTTTTGACCGGACTGTAAACATTGCTTTCCTTTGCAGCGGCAGCTACGAAGACTCGCTCAAGTCCTCCCGACGAGCTTGTGAGCGCGGCCACCCCCACGCCCACGGCCACGCCCACGGCCACCCCCACGGCGCGCAGGGCCTGCAGGGCTCGGGCACGCTGCACGGGGCCACCGCCACCGTGTCACGGACGCGGCACCGGCAGCGGGAGGCGCCGCAAATGATTGGCGGCACGCCCCTCACGCGGCGCCAGTCGGAGCGCGTCATCATGTGCCCCATGCAGAGCTAGGACGACGCTACCCCGCGCCGCCAAGACTCTCCCCGCGGCGATACCCCGCACCTCCTTAGGAAAGACCTGTCTCTGTAAAAACAGAAAACAACTCACGTACACATAAGGGGTGACATTTTAATGGTTACACTGTGTAAGTAACTTAAAATTATATTAAGCCGATCAAGCTCGGAGCAACTATACGTACCTGAATGAAACGATTCCTATTACGTGCCACGAAGATTCAAGCCGTTTCGTCAGTCATGCTGCGCGTATTACTTTGTTCCATTCGTACAGCGTGGCTCGCTGGCCCGAACAGTCTGAGGATGGGATGGTTTAATAAAGTCATTTATTCCAGTCGTAGGATGATTATGCCTTTGTTTAAGTTAGACGGAACCGGCCTCAAAATGAGATGCTCATTTCCGGCTAAAGGATACAGCGTCCTGCCAAACTTATCAACGTGTACAGAGATTTAAGAAATCCTTAGCGAATAGTAGAAGATAAATGTGCATATTGTATCTATATACTGCCAAAATATTTTGTAGACTGTCTCGTCATGTTCTGAGTATTGTTATAACTCTATTTATTTTTCGACTGTTTAAATGAGTCTGTAAGTATGCGAATAAAAGAGCAGCGATTTACAAGCGGGCGCGCTCGTGTGTTTGTGAGTGTGTGTGTGTGTGTGCGCGCGCGCGCGCGCGCGCGTGTGTGTGTGTGTGTGTGTGTGTGTGTGTGTGTGTTAGATGTGTTTGTGTTACACTAACATGTACATTTTCTTACTGTAAGAAGCTCATTATATGTATTTCAGGCTTGTTTCGATCGGATGACAAATTATTGTTCCCGGACGAGCAGCGTGCTGTTTCGTGAACGGTGCTTGAAACACACCAGTTTTGCTCAAACATATCCAGAGTGCGAGTAACGGCTGCCTCTGCCGCGCTTATCAAGACACTCATCCTGTACCGGACGAACTGTCGTGCTTGAGTGAAAAGAGTATTTTGTCTATGAGATGTATACTCCCCTTACCGTACTCTGTAAGATCCCCTAAGTAGTATTGTAATGAGCTGATATCGATGGTTTTTGTCTTTGGGACAATAATCCTCGACTGTGCAATGCTTATTTCTGTTTGAATGTCCGATTTGCAATACAAAAAGTTAACAAAAAACCGAATCTTCTGTTGTATATTTTTTTTAGAAACTTCTTGAAATAATGTAAATTATCTAAGGCAGCATCTCAATAAAATCATCGTTTTTAAAAAATGTCATTCTTTAACTTGTGATTAATTATCACAGATATGATTTGCGTAGTGCTGCAACGAAATCTCTAGGGAGGTTTACTTCTTGAACGCTTAAAGTGTGCGTAGCTTGTGCAGTGATGGTTAAATAATTTAACATTCGCAAACGGGTAAAGTAGCACACTCACATTTATTTATTTATTGACATTTGACGAGACAGATTGTGACAATTGTGGTACATCGTGTTTAGTGTAGACAAAGTTTTTGCACTCCTGTATCTCCCATCCTTTTCCACAGTAATACAAGATGAGAATATTTCCACGGAAACCATACTGTTACTTCTGTGACGGTAATAGATCTGAAAAGGGCACAATACGGTGATACAACCATCGTACAACTGTTATTATCCGTGACAGTACACAAATCAAAGTAAGCACTCAATGGTAAAACCGAAGCGTAGTATCACCCTGTTTGCGAGCGTACTAAATCCATTGTTGAAATAAAACTTCACAGGCTCATTCGCTCAATTTTTCATTCTTCTCTGTGCTTCATTCCAAGCGCAACGATCAGAGCTGTACCGCGTTTTCTTCTCAAATGCGGCTGGTATCCTACTTCATCAATAACTTTTCTTTGTCAACACTCCCAATACTCTTTACTCGTGGCTTAATTCAGCTTTATCAAACTGCACCAACTGAACAAAAGGTGTTCCGCATTAATGATACTCAAGATTTGAATTTGCCGGCCTCGGGTTAATAACAGTAGGTTGACATGCCCTGCATCACACACATCAAATATAATATTTTACTCAAAAACTACAATAGTTTGTGTTACAGATTATGTACGCCATTTATAACTCGTGTAGACGCACTGGTGAAGGGGACGATTTCGGTCAACGACAGGTTACTACAAGACAACGAATCTTCAAAGGAGAGTTTGTTAAGAAAAAAATCTTTGCTTTTTATCCTATTTTAGTAGCCATTGGCAATAACTGTAGTTTCGGAACACTTTTAACAACATAGATTTAATTAAGGTTATGCATAATTATAGTCACGACCATCTACGACGTTGAAGCTGAAACAATCAATGTAAACTTTATCTTTCCACAAATACTGATGTAACACACGGACAATAATGAATAAGTATAGACATACACACAAACTTCAAATTCCAATCACACTTACACACCACAAACCAGAATTTCTCGATGATATCACGTTTCACTCTCAACAGAATCTCAACATCCTCCGTGATTATTTTCCTCCATTCAAATGTCTCTGAATGAATTTTCTCACAATTATCACCATAACACAAGCCTACCAATCTTCAGACTCATCGATTCCAACTAGCAGATATTTTGTTCCTTTTCGTTACCAACGACGTTGTTGTTTTTTTTTCACATTCATCAATTTCAAATCTAAATTAAAACATTTATTCTTTAAAAAATTTCACATTGCACAGTGAAATTGAAAGCTTGAATCTCTAGGCCTATCTCACGTGATTTCACCATCTTTTCAATGGGTTAATTGGTCTACAATTTTTCACATTAATTCGGAGAATTTTCTAAAATGAAGTAACTACAAGCCACAGTATCATTGATACTTTCGATCGCAGAAAAAAGGTTGCCGTAACATAACTGTTGACTTTGTAATCATAAAGGAAAGGTACTCTCATAGATATGGTGGAACTTTCAGCTTTCTACATAAGAAAAGGGCTGAAAGGGAGTTCATATGTCCAGGAAATTTACTATACGAATAGAAAATAAATTTTACGAACCCATTGATTTAGTGTTCTATAAATATCCTAGCTTCACGACCAGTTATGATCCGTGAATAATTTGATTAACTACTGATGGCCACAGCCGAGTTTCGAGTTTCTTGGAATGTTTCGTGGATATGCACGAATTCCTTGAACAAAATGTCTACACATAACTACATTTGCCTAATCTCATCACGATGCGGACCAGGTACGCTGTTGCGTATAGAAGACGCTCACAAGCAATTTACCTCTTGATTGGCACCGCGGGAGTGAGTAAAAGAGTAACCTATGATTTGTGCTCAATCCTATTTATATGACATGGCTCATACATACAGTGAGCAGTTATCTGCAAATGCAATGTGCCGCAGCGGCGCAGCCCTCTCACTCAATTCCAGGAGTGCAACAAACAGAGTACAAGAAAGACATCTGTTTGGCAAAATCACGACACAAATAAGTGATGAAAATTTGAAAGGAAAACCACTGTAATGACTCGTTTCCTAAAGGATCGACACTCTAAGACCATCTCTTCTAGCACTGAAAAGAAAACTTCCGAGCATCATGAATAAAATATAAAAAAAATAACGTAATGCATAAATTTATGTTAAACTAACAATGCTTTGCTTTTTACATGTGTACAAAAACAATAACATGATTTAACACGAGCCAAACATCATTATAATCTACATTTATTAACTAGTAAAAATAACACACAGGTCAATAGGTTTAATTTATGAGAACTTAAGCAGTCTAACAGTGATTCACAACATGCTTGCAACGGATTTCGTCACTCAGTCCTTTTTCTCCTTTGAAAAACTAAAACTTATTGAGCTTTAATTAGGGAGCTGCAGTACTTCTTTTTCATTCCGGGTGGCCTGGCTGTTTGCATCCCACAGACACTTCCGTTGTAACTTCCACAAATAGATGTGAATGCACTTCATTTTCACACCCCTGTCACCTTTAAATCGTATCTCAGTTGTTTCACCGCAAACGGGAGCCTGCCTCTCAGTAGGAAAAAGTAGAACAACTTTGTTTTTTCTTGTTTGTTTTTTTTTTTTGTTTTTTTTTTGTTTTGTTTTTGTGTTTCAGTATTTCTAGCACATGCGTTGCTAGCCCTCTTTTCAAGACAAAAGTGCTTCATTTGGCCAATCACCACACTGAATGGGGAACACATAAAACTACAAAGAGAAAGAATAATGAAAAATGGTCATTGAGGAAGCAAAATACACCAGGGCCAGTGGACGACGATTCAGAACAATTGAGTGGATTTTATTATATACTTTAAGAACTTAGAGTCGTATTTTTTTCCGAAGAAGGGTTGGGGAAAGGGAGGGGGCAAAAATACAAAGTCACGCGCAACACCTCGTGGTGCCATCGGTTGCATCTTAAGGCTACCAGAGGTGCTCTGTGTAAATATGATTTCTACTCCTCCGCACTTCAGTGGTGGGAAACAGGACCAGTGACGAACATCCGGGTAGTAGTTGTGGGTCTCTGATAAGCTTCTTAAGGACGCTACTGCTCAAGATATTTCTTCATAGAAGTAGAAAATAGATGATATTTTACACACACATACAATATGTTTTTTCTAATTGTTTGTCAGCCATTGATTGTTCTCCAGTGCAATCGCCAGTGACAAATTTAAAGCCCCCTCGAGCGACACAGGTCACAATAAAGCTTCCACTCTATACATTCTAAAACTTTGTCCAGCAGAGTTTGTTTGCGTTGGAATTTTATTCCAAACTACCGAAAACCAACCGCTATCAAAATTAAAAATTTCTTGTTACGTTTTCGCAAGACCTAGGCTGACTTATTCGAATTTGTGCTGTTTTTGGGTTCTCTTTGAAACAGATTCTATGCTTTTAATGGAGAAAATTAAATACCCCTATAGAACACAAGTAAAAATATCGAATAAATAGTTTCATGAATACGGTAATATGATTATTGTTTTATCACTCAGGTATCAGGCGACTCAAGAAGACCCGAGTCAATATTTGATTGTGCTTTGGCCGAAAAATTAAAAGTCTAAATGATAGCCGACATCGTTTCCTTGAGAGGCCAAATCCAAACTTAGTCTTGCATTCCAATTAACTATCTTGTTTTCAAAAACAAACGAGAGAAAAGAAAATCCTTACCCAAGATATCAAAATATAACGTTCGTTCTCTTTAAGAATCTTTTTCTCTGACTTCCCTTTAATCCGTTTCATTTATCAGCTTTCCGCAAGATATCAAAATATAACAGTAACAATTCGTTCTCTCTGTGAATCTATGTGTCTCTGATAACCCATTTTATTCTGTCCAGTTATCAGTTTAATTTTAGTCTTTTTACAAACTGACCTAACTTGCAGCACAAGAATTCATTACAGATTCGTAGCTATATCGCAGAAAACGTTTCACCAGTTCCATAGGTAATCTTTCTTTACATTTGGTACTTGAGTAAATATCACACACAAGCGTAATAGTGAGGGTTGCTTTGTTTTGCAAACCTCCTGGGGCTTAAACCATAACAAGTAATGTGGTTAATGTCTTTTCACTTTTACAAAATATACCTTACATATATATTTATATTTTAAGTATACACACATAGATATTTGTATAGTTAAATATTTAATATTTGTATTTGTGCATATAAGTATGCCATATTATACCCATAAATTGTAGTTATTAAAAAAAAACTATGGAGACCCAACACACGTAGAGAACACATTAACAGAACGTAGATTTGCAAAAAACCAACGAATAACCATCTTCATTCTACATGTCCTATGACCTACAGTCCATATGTGCACTGTGACTGATTTAAAATAAAAACAAAAAAACAAACACTTTTTGCAATGAACAACCTTAACTATGAAACAAAAATAGACCAAATGTGGCTTCTAATTAAAATTGCTAGGCCTCCGAATTTAATAAGAGGGAGTTGCGGTCATCTTTTGATAAGATATAAATTGAAACACACAGAAAAATTTTAGACAGTAAAATTCAAACCACTTAACTGATTACCTAGATTACGCTATCTCAATATTGTGTAGCTCATCACAACTCATTGGTGTGGCAGCTTTCTGACTTGGAACACTACTTGTGATATTTAGTTGCATTTTGGGTACAGTAGAATACAGAAAACCATACCACTGTTGGAAACCCCTTGTCTACTTTTCTACTGACAATGTAAAGAAATAAATCAACCATACATTTACAAAGACTGAATATAGTACACAAGATTCCGTTTGTTGTCCATGATATACAGTGCACAGTGCAACACGGTGTAAATCTACACATGCACGTGAACATTGACAAATACGGGGACATGCTCTCTTCACACCCTTCATTCAGAAAATAAACTTTGCTTAATTGCAACGCGTCCAACAAGATGCCAGCATCAATCAAACGCAACGTATAGAAAGATATCTTTATAGCTTACACATCTAACACACTTGATATTATTTAGGCACTTAAGTAAACAAACAACTGGTAAAACGTAAAATAGATACAGGGAGAGAGAGGAATGGGGAACAGAGATATATTTTAACAGGTAAAGATATCGAAGCAAAACAATATTAAAAATACGTGTCCTCAAATCGAAGGAGGCACAACAAACTCTAATATTCCACTAAACACATGGATTAATTTACGGGTGAACTGGTTTCAAAGGAACCACACAAATAACTGGAGCGCAAAGTTGAAAATGCTCACAACAATGACAAAATACAATAAACAACACACATGCGGCCGAGCCAAGAGACTGAAGCGTTTCGCGTGTCACGTTCCACCGAACCCAATACATCCTACTCTAACGTGTCACACTACTCCGCAATGTCCCCGACGTTCAATAAGCAGTGTGATGGTGCGACCACGAGCGTAGTGCTCACGCTCGAGGCGTGCGCCGCGTGCGCGGTGTGTTGGTGACCGGCCTAACCGACCACCCCCCGCTGAGCGGTGCGCGAAAGCACTTAAAAAATCAAAGCTCAGCGGGCTTGCCCCCTGCTGGGGGAGGTGCGCCGAACGGCCTCGGTTGGCACACAATAACAACAAAAGCCACGGGTCAGTGGCGTTCAAGTCGCCATTTAAACTCCAGTGTTGGAGGCGGCGATGTAAGCGCTGTTGTTGCAGATGTAAGACACTGCAGACTCGTGGCCCGGAGCGCTGCTCACGGGCACGGGTGCCACCACGGGCGGAGGAACCCGGCGGGTGGAGGCGGTCACGTAGTAGGAGCTCTTGCGCATCGAGGCCGTGGAGGATCCCACGATGGCCACCGTCTCGTAGTAGCGGAGGCGACCGCAGCAGCGGCGGGACTGCAGGATGGCCTGGAAGCCGCGGCGGTACTTGTTGTTGAAGAAGGCATACAAGATCGGGTTGATGCACGAGTTGGAGGCGCCCAGCCACTGCGCGATGGGGGTGGCCATGGCCATCACTTCATCCTCCCACGGGGTGGTAGCGCCGCCGAGCTTGAGGCGCGCGAAGATGATGTAGAGCGGCAGCCAGGAGAGGACGAACAGGATCACAACAACGACCAGCATCTTCACCACCTGCCGAACAAAAATTGGAGTGTTATCGGTGCTTCGCGTAATGTGCCGAGTTAAGTCTGTCTTTACCCACCTTGACTTTGGATTTCTGCTGCATGCGCTCCATCTGAGCGTCCTTGGTGTCCGACGGGATGGTACGGCGCCACACTTTGACCCAGATGAGGATGTAGCACAGCGAGATGAGCACCAGGGGCAGCAGGTAGCAGCACAGCAAGTTGGCGATCAGGAAGTACATCTCGCCGCTCATGCTGTCCGGCCACACCTGGGAATGTTTTCAAACAGAGCTTGCTTAGTACACAATCGTTTATCTGATCAAAGTAGTGTCTAGCGTAACATGCCTTCACAGGGGCAAAGGGTAGTTGCCGCGACCTACTAGGTGCGATGTAAGGCCACTGAACGTATCACTTCGTTTGAATACTCTGTCACTTTTCTTTTCAATCTGAACCGACGCTCAAATTTTCCCGCGACTAGCTGATTCTCTTTGAAGCGAATGTGACATCACATCCGTATGACACGCATTCGTTTGAATGTAACATTCCTATGATTGTTTGTGAACCGTTGAGACGAGTTACAGGTACTCGAGTCGCTTTTAATCAAATGAGTGGACAGTTATTATGTTTAAACAAAACTTGACAGTTCGACATGCCACCAAGCGGCTGCTGCAAAAGTGTAGACCGTGCCTCCCGCTTTCAGGTCAGCGGTGTTTGCATTCCCTTTTCATCGATACAGGAAAACTGGTGGATAGGACGGGGCCGCCCCAGGATATTGCCGGCGAGCAAACAGAGACCAAGCCTTTGTCCACAAATCAGGGTCGCTTTTCTGCTTCTAATATTGTTGAAGACGCAGCGATACAAGTCTTTTGGACACAATATTGCAGCATTTCAATTTAATGAAAGAAGAAAAGTGCAACGATTTCTTTAATTACTGGCAACGACTGGGGGCACTAAGAGTCTGTTCGAAACCTCCTGACTGAAGCTGGCCAGAGTGCGTGGAGGCCGTCCGCATTTAGGGCAGTAAGCAGTACGCAAGTACCAAGGAGGCTGGAAGTGATGTCACCGTACTCACCTCCCTGCACATGACGACCTCATGATGCTCTCCGATCGGCGTCATGACCGTGTCGAAGAAGAGGGCCCACGGAATGGTGGTGCCACAAGCGATGACCCAGATCACGGCAATCATGCCCCTGGCCCGACGGGTGGTGATCTGGCACTTGAGCGGGTACCAGATGGCGAGGAACCTGCGTCAAAAAGAGGCAGTTGGTGACGGAGCTTCTATCAGTGCGTTATCCCGCAGCAAGAACTTGTTTTAATAACTATACAGGATTTGATTAGCAACTGCGATGCATGCCAAATCCGATGCAACTAAATTGTGACCGGGATTTCACACCCAAAATGCGAGAGGGTCGAGTCACTTAGTATTTTGGTGTGCAACTAACTACATGAGTACGGGTTCAATCATTCCAAATTGTCCGAACGTTTCTTGGATTTTAATTGGTGCTTTTCATCCCAAACAATCCCTAACACCGCCAAAATTTCTTGGATGCCCTAAAAAAAAATGATACGAAAATCATTGGTTGAGCGAAATGCCGAAGCTGTTGCGACTAAGTCAAGAGGTTTGATTTTTGTTCTCTTTTAATGAACCCTTTTTATGCAGAAAATGCATGGGTGCGCTCGTCATGACGCATCGCAGCGACTAAATCCCTCGGAATAAATGAGACACAGCGCGGACGTGCGTCCCTCTCCGCTCCGCCGAGTGGAAACCAGAATCATTATTCGTGGCTTACGCCACTTGAACCGAGGATGCGGATTCGGATTCGGATTCGAGGATCCCCGCTGCGGCCCTGGCCTTCTCTGCGTCGCTCTGTCTCGCTCCCCCTCTCTCTGCCTCGCTCTGCTCTCTCTGCCTCGCTCTGCGTGTGCTGCATTGTGACGTCACGGCGTGACAAGGTTCGCCAGTTCGCCCGCCCAAAACCAGCCGGGTTGACTAACGCGCCAACAGGTCGGGCCCACGGGTCGGGCCAGCCAGACGCATGCCCTGGCAGTCACAGTGCTCCGCCGCGCCGTGGCTCCAAGATCTAGAAAAGTCTTCATTGTTCCGGCCTGGAACGTTCTAACGTTCCGTTTCACGTTCAGTTCGAACGCCGCGTGTTGACTATCAGCCAAGGTTCCACTCGAGGAGACCGCCCAACGCAAACACGCCCCGCGCCTCATCAGTCAAAACCCACTGCGCCCGGCGGCGCGGCGGCCGCCACGCCATCACCTTATTTATTAGTTTTGTTTGGCGACGTCGCGCGCGCCAGCCACCCTGCCCCGCCCCGCCCCGCCTCTCCATGAAGCAAAAAGGAACAGGATCCTCGCAGAAAAAGGCCGTGCCGAGGCGGGGGATGGCGGCGTGGCGGCCTCGGCCTGCCAGCGCTACGGTAATCATTTTCGATCCGGCCGCCGTTAGAACGTATTAACGTGTAGTGCGGCCGAGCTCCGAGTCGTCTTATTGCCGGCTGGCACTCGCACACACGCGCCCACACTGAAAATAGAAAGGTCATACTTTTGACCGCTTAAACGGTCTTACTGAAATGTACGACCGAAAAACGGTCATACTTCGATGTATGACCGAAAAACGGTCATACTTCGATGTATGACCGAAAAACGGTCATACTTCAATGTATGACCGAAAAACGGTCATACTTTATAGTGTATCACGGGTAAAGGCTGATATATCCCCAAGCTAAACAGTAGCCAGTCTCGCTGATGTCTGACCTTTTTTTGGTCACACATTTAAGTACGACCGTTTTTCGGTCATACATTTGTGTATGACCGTTTTTCGGTCATACTTTTTGTATCACCGAAAATCGGTCAGATGTCTCACCCTTAGAATTTCAGTGCACTCACACACACACACACACACACACACACACACACACACACACACCTACACACACACACACACACAAATAATAATTGGTAGTGCCAGCGCCAGCACGAGAATAGAGGACGGACCACTCCAGAGATTCGCTGGAAATGAATCCATCCGGGCGGTGGCGCGCCATGGCGGCGCTCGCGGCCACCTGTCCCAAAAGTTGGCGAAAGTTGGAGCGGCGGCGGCCACCGCCACCGCGACCATGCGACGCTTCAAGCGCTTCAAGCTGCGGCGGCGGAGCTGCGGTGTCCGTTTTATTATTCAGAGACGAGGGGCAGTGCCGGGGCAGCAGACTGATTCCGGGTGGAAGGTCTTTCTCTGAATTAGCCTGCAGCCTGCAGAACCGCGTTGCGCGCCCTTTATTCCACGCCAGAGCGAGCCCTTCAGTGAGCCCTTCAGTGAGTCCTTCAGCTGTGCACCACTCTGCCCTTCGCTGCTCGGCATAACAGCAGTGGCAGCAGCGACAGCGCGTCCGGCCATGGCCACCGGATGGCCCCGGGCCCTGCCTGGCCCCACCTGGCCCTGCGCACTGCGCGTCGCTAGGCACGTCCAGAAGGGCCAGCGTTGTAATTAACTTTGGTCAAGCCCGGCGTCGCACTGGTGGAATCAAACAAATGAAAAAAAAAACGAAAAAAAAAATATCTAGATATCCAGATGGGGGTGAAATGAGCGCATGAAGCCCACGTTAGTTTTCCGCGTGCTCGCAAACTTCGGTCTTCATACGAATTGGGTTCACACTCTAGTTACTCTATGCGGGAACATCGTTTTTCTGTCTGTGGATACTGTCACATCAGTTTCGGAATCCCGTCGAACAGAAACGTGGCTTGTACCGAAGTTACGACACCTCGTCTTAGGAGGGTGATAAGATTTGAGACGCCTCCGACGGGTCTTCCTCCTAGCGGGCTTTGGGTGACAGGGGCGAGGTGACAGAGTAGCTTCCAAGTGCTTTGACAGTTACAATCCATCCCGATTACAGAACTTTTTACACATTGCCGAGCAAAGAACGAGAGACGAGAGTGTTTCCCAGTATCGCTAAAAATTGCAGCAGGGCGCCAAGTGGCGGGCTGTTGCGGCGACCTTAAGGTGATTTTGCTTGTCAAGGATCATCTCTGGGCCGCTAGGGCGCTGCCGGTTCGTTTGATTACATTGATCGTCACTGGGTGACGAGAGGGTCTCCCCTCTCGGAGAATCTTGTGTTACGTCACAGGGCGCGACCTTGAGTTCGAGCACTAGGCAGACGGCACTGTATAATTGGCTCTTGCTTTTGAAAGCCCACACTGCAGTGCCAGCGAATTAGCATCGAGAAAAAGCGAGGACCTCGCCGACAGAGACGAGCCTTTAGCGAGCCCATACCGCCCCGTCGAGCAATGCCGCTGCCCGCACTCTTCGCTCTGTCTCTCTCGCGCTCACTGAATGTGCCATAGGGGTGCGAGAGAGATACGTAGAGCGAGGAGTGCGGAATCTCTCGACTGTGCACATAACCCGGGGCATCCACTGCTAGGGAAGGTTGCGTCCCGCGGAGGCACCCAGTTTCAACGTTTGCAAACCCGTCTCAAAAATTTCGGAGGGGAGGAGATTTTTTTGGATTTCTCAGGCGTTTGCCCAGATTTTGATACTTTTTAGAAGACAGATTTCGGATTTCAAGAAATTTCTGGCGCTTGACTAGACACAGGATTTGGCGAGTGTTTGCCCCCGGGTTCGTCCACTCGATCAGTCCACTCGACCCATCTCTGGAACAGACTGCGTATGGCGGAGGGTAGGTCGACATCGAGAAACAAACGAGGATCAAACGCCCTCGCGTATGGCAGACAGCGCCGGGCCCCGCGCCCCGCCCCGCGGAACAGGCAACTCCACGTCTTGCACAGACCCGGCCCCGCCAATCCTCGCCAGCAGGCTGATCCCGAACAGCGGGTCGTCACTGTCTCTCTCGCACCCACACGGAATGCCACAAAAGTGCGATTCCCAGGAATATTTTGAGCATATGTAGGGTACAAACTTCTTAAGAAATATACTATCCAGTAAATTATACGAACCATTTTCTTTGAAGCTTACGTCTCAAAATACTGAAGCCGCACACTCTCAGAACCTTGCGAAGAATTTGTTCGCATTACAAACTATTTAGTTTGCAGCTTGCGAAGAGTTTGGCTTGGTTGTATTGCGAACCAGATGTTCGCAATTTTGCGAACAATGTGTTTGTAAGGGTTCGCAATACACACAGGTTGTTCGCAAATTGCGAAGCACTTCGCAAATTGCGAACAAGTGAGACTCTTCGAAAGCTTACAAACACATCGGTTCACAAGATTTTAAGAGTGCAAGGCTAAAATGGTTTGAAAGGTTTCCAGAGTGCAGGGGATAGTTTCAGCGTGCGATGTTCGGACTCGCGCTCATCCAGGTAGCTTTTGCTGTGGCGCTTTTAGCTCGCAACAACCCTGTGATAAGAGGGCGTACCGGGCATAGCCGAGTAAGACACGTCAACCGGTGAAGGCCGATAAAACGAAACTCTGCGCTCTTGGCCGCGCTGTTGTGACGAGCCTCCGAAGGTTTCCCGAAACATGCCCCGTTAATAATAAATCAGAAAATCCCGAAAATAGCGTTTGCTCGGCCTGGCCCGGCCCTTTAGGAAATCGACATTGTCTGAATAATTCGCGGCCTGTCGGCGTGCGGTTCCCCTCTTCGGCGCCGTCCTCGCTCATAATTTGTGCTTGCAGGGGGCTGTCCTTCCGCCCCACTTCCGCTGCGCCGGGTGACGTGGCGCAACGGGAATGGCCTAATCGAGCCGCATGGGCCGTTGTTTTCGACTCGTCTAAGTGGCGTTTCGCGGGTGGGCGAAGCCGGGCTCTTCCCCACATTGCGCCCCCGGCGGAGATGCGAACCCACTGTATCAGTGTATTCGGGTGATTCCGGGAGACTGGATAAAGGAGGGACGGTATGGAACCTCACATGCTTTGCGATTCTTCCACGGAGCGCGTTGTGCGGAGTCCTGTTTGTTCCGGCAGAAGCGCGCCGTACTGGAAAGCGTGCAGAAACCGGAGCACCGCGCTGCCCGGGGCTGCCTCGCTGGCTGCCCCGCAGGGCCGCAGGCTGCCAGCCCCGCACGCAGCTGCTCCGCAGGACGCAGCGTCTCCACCCTCGCTCCTTTTTGACGGAGTTTGCCTACCGCCCACTCCGAGCCGGGCCCCATCCGAACTGTCGCCGTCTCCCTCGCACCCACGCGGCATTCCCTGGGCGCGCGAGAGAGACGGGCGAGTCGGTCTGCGGGCGGCCGCCCAATCAGCTCGGACAGCCTTTACGACCCATTATGAGAGACACCCTGAATGGACG